ACTAAATGGGCAGCTCCTGTCTGGAGGTGAGATGTGAAGGCAGAAAGGGTCAGGAGCTGGCTGAATGGACACGGGAAATTGGTGTGGAAAGGAGGAGTGTGCTGTCACAGTATAGGAAGAGCAATTAGGGTCACATAACAATGTATGTATAAATTTTTGTATGAGAGACTAACTTGAATTGTAAACTTTCACTTAAAGTACATCAGTAAAATTTTTTTTTAATTATGTAAAATATAAGTTTTCGGAGATTAAACAAAAAACGTGTTGCTCTCGTTTTTATTAACCAGTCAGTTCTTTATGCTGGAGAGATGAAAACTCCAAAAATCACAGAAGTGCTATTGCTTATGTACTTTAAACTTAGGAAAGCAAGCAAGGCCAAAGCCCAGAGTAAAAGTCAGTCAACTCTATCCACCATCACTAGATGGCATTATTAAGTTGAAAGGCATCTCAAACTTGGAAACTGCCCAGTTTCCAGCACTGACTCAAAGCAGTAAAACATTTGGTAACTATAAATAGTCTTACCAGAATTCAGTTACTGTTTTAAGACACTGAGAAAAAGAACAAAAATCACATTCTTACCTCCTCCTCTTTTCCCTATAGCCAAGCAGGTTGGCTCCACTGATGAGAATAAGGTCCTGATTTGTTCCTTCCACAAAGAGTATAAACTTTGAAATGGTGTAAGGCAAGAGCACATTTGAAGCCAGAAGACTGGGATTCTAGGCCTAGTCCAGGGATACAAAGCAAAATCCAACTTCTTTAAGCTCAGTTTCCTGATGTGTAAACGGAGGTACGCCTACCTCCCCAAGCGACAGAGGTGTTAGGAAGATATGGACACTCAGAAAAACCACGTAGCACTATAGAGATGTTTAAGAACATAGTTACAACCAACATTATGCCAGGAACCAAATTTCTATCCCTGGTTAACCATCTTGCAAGTACATGCAATGAGAGCTTAAGAAAGAACATGAATTAGTCAGTATAATCTACCATTATACTAGAAAAATTATGCAAAGTATATTTTCTAATGGTAGTTTTAAGAGTTTAGTATCTAAAAAAAAAGCACTGACTTTCTATCAAAATAATTAGGTGTAATTGACAGAAGCAGACTGTGGGGGAATAATCTTACTAATCATATGGAAACCTGATATGAATTATAATAAGGTCTCAAGTAAAACTGCTGCCCTGTTAGTCTCTGCCTGGCTTCTTGGGGCAGACGGTTTGAGTGGCCAGAGATCAGTGGACTGGCTGTCCTTTGCTCTTCCTAGACTGCTTTAGCGGTCTGTTCTGATAAGACACATCCTTCTAACAGGTAAACCCACCTCTGTAAACCCAACTGCATATATTATTTCCCCAGATGGGTTTGCAGAGCACAAAGCCAAACTTACGAGTGGAGGTGTACATCCTGAATTATCACCAGATCTGTCAAGTTCCTGCAAAAACATCAGAAACCTCTCACCCTAGCCCTTTTATTCCATGACAATAGAAACCAGGAGGAATTGGGAGACTACAGAGAGATCTGGGACGTCATTATAATTTTGAAATTTACAGTATCTTTGTGAAAGCCTCCCTCTCTAAGTTAGACTTGGAACCTAATTTGCTTGACTCCCATAGCAGGTACATCACACAGCAAATGAAATCAAAGGTTCTGCTGATCAAAGAGTTTTTCTCCTAACTTACACTAATCTAGGTTCCCAAGAGCTCCAGCTTTAGGCGGATGGGTCCTAATAGCTCTAATACACAATGATTAAATAGGACAGGCTTAAGGGGTCTTCTTCCTTTGGTCTAATCCTATCCCTTAAACAAAGACATTATAAATTTAGCAATGTCAAAATAATAGATGCACATATCCTTTGCCTCAGCAATGCTACTTCTAAGAATTTATCCTAGAAATATGGCATTTAGACATGTACCCAAAAGCATATTCAAGGATATTCATTACATTATTTATTGTGGCAAAGCACGAAGCATCTGTGAGTGGTAGACACTGCTACTTGTCCACCAATATCCTTCCTTCCCTTAACATTAAGCAGAATTTACAAGCTTTAGCCAAGTACATAGGTGGACATCCCAACCACCTTGCAGGTGGGAATGGCCATGTGATGAAGTTCTGCTCAGTGGGATATAAGCCAGAACTTCTGGATGGTAGGTAAAAAGAAATAGTAGGCACCCTCTTCCCTGCTTCCTGCTGGATGGTATAAAAGTGAGGAAGCTGGAGCAGCCAGCCTGTACTCAGAGATGGAAGCCATCTTATAAAGGATGGCGAGCCAGCCACCTTACCTCTAAACTATTTCTTAAGAAAAAAATTTCTATTTTGTTTAAACTACCATATTTTGGGGTTCTCCCCACCCCAGATGTTTAAACTGTACTCTAATACACAACCTAAATATTCATCAATAAAGGACTGGATAAATTATGGTACATCTGTAGTCGGAATCAACTCAACAGCAATGGGTCATACACTAAAAACCACAAAACCAAACCCAGTGTCATTGACTCGATTCTATCTCATGACGACCCTATGTGTTATACAGCAGAACTATTCCATGGGGTTTTCTTGGCTGTAATTGCTACAGAAGCAGATCACTAGGACTTCGTCCACAGCTCTGCTGGATGGGTTCAAACCACCCATCTTTAGGTTAGGAGTCAAGCGCAAACTGTTTGCGCCACCCAGGGACATTTATCTATATACTTCCCAGCCATTAAAAAGAAAAAAAGCAGATTTCTAAGCACTGTTACAGAATAACCCCCGAGGTAAACTGTTAAACGGAAACACCTGAGTCCCACTAAGAGCAGAATTTCTCAGCCCGCACATTACAATTACATAGGAAGTGTCTAAAAAATACCCATGCTGGGACTACACCACAGAGCAACGAAATCATAATCTCGAGGTGTGGGGCCCAGATATAGCTTATTTTTTTAAAAAGCTTCTCAGCGCTGACTGGTTTGAACATGCAGGTAGGATGGGGAACCGCTGCACTGAGCCTGAGTAAGCAGCACTACACAAAGCAGCCCAGAAAGCGTGCTCATCCTCTCCATTGCTCTTCGCTGCAGCCTACTTCTGCCACATCTATGACTCGTCTACATGCTCAGTACCCTAGCAGGAACCCTAGGGAGGAAAGCTGCACCTCAAGGGGGCTGCCTTTTCTCCTGGCCGGATCTGCGTTCTTACACCTTTCACTGAGAATTACCATGTAACATTTACGTATATGAGACTTGTCTAAGGTCACCAAAAAATACTTCTCAGTGAAAAGCTATTCTCTCTCAATCCACTGTTCTTTTTACAAGCTCATGTCAACATTTATTTAGGAGATATAAATCTTTTTGATAATTATACCACTGACACCTTCTTATTTCACTACGAAGCCTAATGAATTCTTCAAAAGAAACAGAGTGTGATTTAAAGCTGCAGAGAAAGGTCACCCAGACAACCAAATGCCATGAGCTTCAACACTGAACAAGGAGCAGCACTACAGATGCAGCACACTTCTTTTTACAGTGATTTCAGCCCAAACAAAGTTATTGTGCTGTTATGTCTTCCTATTTCCCATACTGTTTATTGCTGCACAACATCTGATTATTTATCCAGACACCCCATATCCGGCAAAAGGTTGAGCCAAAAACAAGCAGCTTACTAATTGGATAAGCACACTTTTTTTCCCAAAGTGATCTAAAACCACTGCTGTCAAACTGAGAAAAATAATTATAGTAGCTTATATATATATGTGGAGCCCTGGTGGTACAGTGGTTAAGAGCTCGGCTGATAACCAAAAGGTCGGCAAGTTCGAATCTACCAGCTGCTCCTTGAAAACGCTATGGGGTAGTCCTACTCTGTCCTATAGGGTTGCTCTGAGTCAGAATCGACTAGATGGCAATGGTTTTCTTTTTTTTTATGGGTTTATATGTTTATGTAAGGCATTAACTACGTGCCAACGACTGTGCTAATCATTTTACAAGTATTATATCTCTGGAATCTCATAACAACATCATCAGGCAAGTAATATTATCCACATCTTAAATGTGAGAAAATTAAGGCTGAGACGTTAAACAACTCGTATAAGGCCACATAGCTGTTAAGCAGGGGAGAAATTCAAACCACCACACTAGACTCTAATTGTCACTTTGCTGATTTTTTTAAATTGACATTAATTAACTAGTCGCTCTACAATGTAAACAAATGTGGGAAAAAAGAGAAATCTCTTTACTTTCTTTCTAACTTTAAAGATAATAAACTTTAGCATTACCTCCTTCATGATAGCCAGCCTCCTTTTCTCAAGACTGGCAGCTTCTGGTTTCTGCTTCCTCCATTTTCTCTTCAAAGCTTTTTCTTGGAGTTCCCAGTGTGCTAATGCTCTATTCTTCGATTTGTGTATTTCATGACGACGCAACTATATAGGAGAAAAAAGTATTATAATATTTCAGGAACAAAGATGTTGCCGATTCAGATGGTGGGAGCCCACCATCTGGTCTAACTCATCCACTTTTTTTAATTCTTTCTGGTCCAACATGTATGTGTATTTATATATATTCGCACTCAAATTTTTCAGTCCTCTAAATTATCAAAAATGATAAAAAAAAAAAAAAGTATCTAGAACTAGTAGGCCTAGCTAAAAGGCAAATAAAAAATATTAATTCCTATTTCCTTTATACAGGACTATCCAATAAATCAGTGTTTTCAAGCTGCAAGTTGGGACTCATTTAGTGGGTAGTAAAATCAATTTTTTAAATTTTAGATTTTAAATCAGCATCAAGGCTATTTCCTTTCAGCATACTTATTCAATCTGTGTGCTGAGCAAATAAACCAAGAAGCTGGACTAAAGAGAACACAGCATTAGGACTGGTGCAGGACTCATTAACAACCTGTGATATGCAAATGATACAATCTTGCTTGATGAAAGTGACGAGGACTTGAAGCACTTACTACTACGAAGATCAAAGACTACAGCCTTCAGTACGGATTATACCTCAACATAAAGAAAGCAAAATTCCTCACAACTGGACCAAGAAGCAACATTATGATAAACGGAGAAAATACTGACTTGGTCAAAGGCTTCAATTTACTTGGATCCATAATCAATACCCATGGAAGCAGCAGTCAGGAAATCAAGTGACATACTGAACTGGGCAAATCTGCTGCAAAGGACCTCTTTAAAGTGCAGAAAGGCAAAGGACTAGAGTGTGCCTCACCCAAACCATGATATTTTTAATTGCCTTATATGCATGCAGAAGCTGGACAATGAATAAGAAAGGCTGAATGGATGCCTTTGAATTATGGTGGCAAAGAATACTGATTATACCATGGACTGCCAGAAGAACAAGCAAGTCTGTCTTAGAAGAAGTACAGTCAGAGTGCTCCTTGGAAGCAAGGACGGTAAGACTTTGTCTCATGTACTCTGGACATGTTATCAGGAGGGACCAGTCCCTGGAGAAGGACACCATACTTGATAGAGTACAGGGTCATCAAAAAAGAGGAAGGCCCTCAACGAGATGGACTGACACAGTGGCTGCAACAATGGGCTCAAACATAGCAACGATTGTGAGGATGGCAGAAGACTGGGCAGTGTTTCTTTCCGTTGTACACGGGGTCACTATGAGTGGGAACCAACTCGATGGCACTTAACAACAATATGTTTTTTTTCCTTAATATAAGCTTTATTGAGATGTAATTCATATACCATAAAATTCACCCTTTTAAGTATACAATTTATAGAGTTTTGGTATATTCATAGAGTTTGGCAACCATCACCACAATCTAATTCCAGAACACTTTTCTCATCTCAAAGAGAAACCCCATAATCATCAGCAGTCACTCCTCATTCTCCCCTTTTCCCAGTCCCTGGCAAACACTAATCTACTCCATGCCTCTACGGATTTGCCTATTCTGGACATTTTATATTAATGGATTCATGCAATATGTGTCCTTTCTTGTGACTAGCTTCTTTTACTTAGCATATTGTTTTCAAGTTCATTCATGTTGTACCATGTATCAGTACTTCATTCTTTTTTATTGCTGAATAATAATATTCCATGGTATGTTTATCCATTCATCAGCTGATGGACATTTGGGTTGTTTTTTTGTTGTTTCCTTTCTGGCAGCTCCCCAACAATGTACTGCTGCAACTGTTTATGAAATTATCTTCAGCAAAATTTTACTTGCATGTAATATTAATGATACTGTTCAATAAACTTTCGCATTCTGCTGGATCACCTTTGGGTTTTTATTTTTTTAAATGAATAATGTTGTTATGAACATTTCTTTACAAGTTTTTGTGTGGACATAAGTTTCATTTCTCTTGGGAATATACCTAGGAGTGAAACTGCAGGATCATGTAGTAACTCTGTTTAATTCTTTGAGGAACTGTGAAACTGTTTTTGAGAAGTGGCTACACCATTTTGCAATCTTATCAGCAATGTATTAGGGTTCCAATTTCTCCACATCCTTACCAACACTTGGTATTGTCTGTCATTTTGCTTTTAGTCTCCTTGTTGTTGTTGTGTGCCGTCGAATAGATTCTGACTCATAGCGACCCTACAGGACAGAGTAGAATTGTGGAAAACCCATAGTTTCCAAGGAGCTGCTGGTGGATTTGAACTGCTGACCTTTTGGTTAGCAGCCGAGCTGTTGACAACTATGCCACCGGGGCTCCTTAATGAGTATAAAGTTGTTTTTTTATTGTGGTTTTATATGCATTTCCCTAATAACTAATGACACTGAATATCTATTCACGTTCTTATTGGTCAATTGATATTTTTTGTTTGGAGAAACGTCTACTCAAATCCTATGCTCATTTTCAAATTGGGTTATTTATCTTTTTACTGTTGAGTTGTGAGAGTTCTTATGTATTCTTGATACCTATCAGATTATCAGATATATGATTTGTAAATATTTTCTTCCATTGTGTGGGTTTTATTTTCACTTTCTTGATGGTGTCCTTTGAAGCACAAAAGTTTTTAATTTTGATGAAGTCTAACTATCTAATTTTTCTCTCGTTGCTTGTGCTTTGGTGACCTAAACCACCACTGCCTAACACAAGGTCATGAAAATTTATTCCTATGTTTTCTTCTAAGAGTTTATTAAAGTTTTAGTTTTTATATTTTGAGTTAATTTTTTTATATGGTGTGAGGTAGGGGTATATCTTTATTCTTTTTCATGTGTATATCCAGGTGTCTCAGCACTATTTGTTGAAGATAATTCTTTCCCCACTTAACTGTCTTGGCACCCTTGTTGAAAATCAATTGACCATAAATGTAGGGACTTATTTCTATTCCACTGACCTATATATGTCTGTCCTTATGCCAGTACACCATGTCTTGATTATTATAGCTCTGTAGTAAGTTTCAAGTCCCGCTCTTTGAAACTACCTAACAGGTGGTATCTCCTCTGAACTGTTGCACTTACTGCCTACACGAGGCACTGAGTGAATGCCATCTAATGTACGTCATTTATCTTTATATGTATACGCTTATCTGCCTGGTCAGACTGTTAATGCTTTCAGAGGTAGGGACCATGTCCTTTACAACTGTGTGGACCTAATGGTTAATTCAGACTCTTAATCATAGTAGGTGCTCAGTAAATCTTTACTGAGGACGATAATGATACCTAATTAACTTAAACTTTTTTTGGTTATGAAAATTTTTAAACTTACATGAAGTAGAAATAGTAGTAAAAATAACTCATATCCTGCTCATCTGGATTTAATAGTTATCAAGATATTGGCACAGTTGCTTATCACACCCCTTTTTCCTCTGCTGCAGAAGCTTTAAGCAAATGCCGAACAACATGTCATTTCATTCTTACAATTTCATTTTTAAAAATATGAACATTTTCCTACATAACCACAACGCCATTATCACACCTAACAAAAGTAACAAAAATTCTTTGGTATTATCTAATACTCACTACATACTCCAATTTCCCTGATTGCCTCAAAAATGTCATTTTCAGTTTGTTTGTTTGAATCAGGATCCAAATAGAGTTCTTAGATAATACTTAGTTTTTAGTCTCTTTTTTTTTTTTTTAA